CCCTACTCTTCTGCAAAAGCAGCAAGTGCTCTGAAACACAGTTTTTTGTTTTTGTTTTTGTTTTTTTTCAGGCTCTCCCAGCTCTAATGGCCATCAGGTTTCAAACCTAGAGCCATGAATTTTAGATTTGTTATAGTAGCATTCCATTTCCTTGCCCTAAATCGTACAGTAGTTACTATTGCTCTGATGATAAGAAATTATCACAAAACTCAAGTTGTAGAAAGCAGCAACCTCAGATGACTTAAATGATAGGAAGGAAGTTCCTGTATGTGGTTTCCTTTTAATGATTTGTGGTCTCACTTATGGCAGCCTCAAGTTACTATCAGGCATGTATAGATCTTTGCTCCAGGCACAAGGGTGTGCCTGTGTAGTCTGTGCATGTGTACAAGCCTGAACTCAGACACTGGACTTAGTCAGTACCTGCTGTCACACTACCGGGCACCTGCATACATGTAGGGACCGCTCAGAGAGACAAACATACATAAATAAAAATAAAATCAGTCTTGGGGGCTAGAGAGATGACTCAACTAAGAGCACCAGCTGCTCTTTTAAGAGTACCTGGGTTTGACTCCTAGCCCCAGAATAGCAGCTCACAGCCATCTGTAACTCTAGTTCCAGGGAACCTGACACCCTCTTCCAGTCTCCTAGGGTACCTGTTGTGAACGTAGTGCTCACACATACATGCACATACACCTATACATATAAAATAAAAGTTAAAAATAAAATGAATCTTTAAAATTTTATATCTAAAATTAAAACTGGAGTCGCATACCATTTTGACTGTACTCTGTTGGTCAGAGCTGTGAGGAGCCTATAGAAAGTCAAAGGAAGGGAATACAAAAGAAGTCACAGAATTTCTCTTCTAACCAGTTAATTAAGAAGGCAAATAAGGCTTAGCTGAGCATCAAATGCTTGCAATAGCATCAAATTGACAGTAGCATCAAATGCTTGCAATCCCAGCATTCAGGGAGGCAGGGGCAGGCAGATCTCTGCTTAATCTACAGAGTGAGACCAGGACAGCCAGGGCTACACTGAGAAACCCTATCTCAAAAAACTTGTAAATTTAGATCTTATGGTTTGTTACTAATTTTGGCTTTTAAAAAGAAATCTTTTTAAAAATCAGCTTTAAAAAGTAATTGTAGCTGGTTTTTCCATAGAGATCATGATTTATATTGAACAGTTTTTTACTTTATTATCTTGAGACCAGTTTATGTTTTCCAGACTAGCATGGAACTAGCATGTAGCTGAGAACGGCCTTGAATTTCTGATTCTTCTGCCTCCACCCCAGTGCTAGAGTTAGATAACAGTGCAGGTATGCACTTCCATTCCCGTCCAGCATTGGGAGACGCTGGAAGCAAACCAGAGCTGTGCTGGCAGGCACGACTGCCCTCCAGCCCGCTGGAAGATTGGTTACAAGGGACTAACGCGGCGTGGGCGAAGACAAACTTGAGAACATTTCCACTGGTAGCTTCACCCACTGGTGAAATTCTGTCTCTGTGTCCAGTAACGATGAAAGTAAAGCTGGTACTCTATAAAGTGGGTTAAAGGATGCCAGAAGTGGCTCTTCTGGTTATGGGTTGAAATAGATGGGAAGAGTTTATTTGGCTTTGTCTCACAAAGTATTTGTAAATACATAAAGTTAGATTGATGCATCTATATAAATATAAAGTTTGTTAAAACTTATTTTTAGATTTTATTTGAAAGAATCCGATTATATATTTAATTGCCAATTAGCATATAGTCACTTTTTTAAGTGTCATAGTAATACATGCTATCCGTAAACTAACACTCCGTCTGTTTTGTCTTGTTGTTTTCAATGAGGGAAAGCTTAACGACTGCCTTTTGACAGCTGTTGTTTGATTGTTTAATGAGCTAAACATTTTTTTTTTTTTTACCGTTGCCTTTTTTACTTTTCAAAACATGTCACTAGGAACTGTAGCTTAAGTTCCTTTAGAATGAGATACTAAAGAATTTCATATATGCTAAATTAACCTAGAAACTTTTTAAAAATATATAGATAGCCAGCCAAGGACCACTCATGGAAATGGCCTGAGACCCCTGCACAGAGGTAATTTATGGCAGTTCAGTATCTAAGTGTGCTCCATAGTAATGGGGACAGGAATTGTCTCTGACAGGAACTGATTGGCCTGCTCTTTGATCACCTCCCCCTGAGGGGGGAGCAGCCTTGCCAGGCCACAGAGGAAGACAATGCAGCCACTCCTGATAAGGCTTGATAAACTAGGAAAGGGAGAAGGACCTCCCTTATCAGTGGACTGGGAGAGGGAGGGTGGGATTGGGAGGGGAAGAAGGAGGGAGGTACAGGGGGGATACAAAGTGAATAAACTGTAATTAATTAAAATAAAAAAGATAATAAAAAATATATAGATAGGTATTTATTAGAAGGGAGGTAATAATAAAAAATATATAGATAGGTATTTATTAGAAGGGAGGTAATTTAATATAAATAGTGTATGTATAGTTTTCAAAACATGATCATTTTGTCAATTTACTTGGTGTGGGTTTCAACTACCATTAATTAATTATCAACCATCCCTTAAGTCCTCAATTTTTCTTAAGAGGAAGCTACTGTTTATATGTTTTGCTTGTTCTACAATTTTTCAGTAGTCTTTGTGGTCCTTGCTGTAAACATAAGAAATAAAATTGCTGCTTTTCTCAATTTGCCCAAGTGATTGGATTAAACTCATTGTAAAATGGAGGTTAAAAATACCTCTTCTCTGTTTAGCCCTATACCCCATTTTTGAATTGGATTATTTGATTTGTTGCTCTTTAACTTCTTAAGTTCTTTATATATTCTGGCTATTTGCCCTCTGTCAGATATAGGGTTGATAAAGATCTTTTCCCATTCTGTAGGCTGTTGTTTTGTTCTGATGATAGTGTCCTTTGCTTTACAGAAGCTTTTCAGTTTCATGAGGTCCCATTTATTGATTGTTGATCTTAGAGCCTGTGGTGTTGGTGTTTTGTTCAGGAAGTTGTCTCCTGTGCCAATGGGCTCAAGGCTCTTCCCCACTTTTTCTTCTAACAGGTTTAGTGTGTCTATTTTTATATTGGGTATCAAAGCATATCCTGAGATTCATAGCCAACTTTGGGCAGAGTGAGGGAATCTTATGAAAGAAGGGAGGGATAAAAAGACTTGGTGGGAACAGGAGCTCTACAAGGAGAGCAACAGAACCAAGAAATCTGGGCACAGGGCTCTTTTCTGAGACTGATACTCTAAACAAGGACCATGCATGGAGATAATTTAGAACCCCTGCTCAGATGTAGCCCATGGCAGCTCACTGTCCAAGAGGGTTCCCCAATAATAGGAACAGGGACCGTCTCTGACATGAACTCAGTGGCTGGCTCTTTGATCACCTCCACCTGAGGGGGGAGCAGCCTTACTGGTTGACAAAGAAGGAAGGAAGACAAAGAAGCCAGTCCTCATGAGGCCTGATAGGCTAGGGTCAGATGGAAGGAGAGGAAGACCTCCCCTATCACTGGACTGGGGGAGGCATGGGAGAAGAAGAGGGAAAGAGGGTAAGATTGGGAGGGGAAAGGGAAAGGGCCTACAGCTGGGATACAAAATGAATAAACTGTAATTAATAAAAAAAAAAAAAACCTCTTCTCTTTACAGCACTGTGTCTAAGAGAGTAAGATGCTAAACTAGACGTGTAAAATGGAATAACGTAGTCAAGTAGAGTAGCAACCAACAATACTTTAAGTGCTGTGGAGATGACAGTAGGCATTGTGGGGCGCTGTGCAAGCATTCGGTACACAAGACTGATAGCCTAGGTTCAATCCCCAGAATGAGCATGAAGGTGGAGGGAGAAAGCCAGCTCCGTCGTGTTGTCTGTCCTCCATAGATGCCAGCATGCATCTTGGCCAATATAGATCATGTACACAAGAAACTATAATCTTAAGAACAATATAAAAGCAAACCAAAACTATACTTGCTAGCCTGCTACTTTAGTACATACTGAAGTAGAAACATTCACTAGGCTCAGTGGCTCCAGAAGCTTTTCACACGTGTACAGTAATAGTCATGCTTACTGAAAAATATTTTTAACATTTATTTATTTATTATGTATAGTGTTCTGCCTGTATGTATGCCTGCACACCAGAAGAGGGCACCATGTATCATTATACATGGTTGTGAGCCACCACGTGGTTGCTGGGAATTGAACTTAGGACTTTTGAAAGAACAGCCAGTGCTCTTAAACTCTGAGCCATTTCTCCAGCCCAATTTTCTAAGCATGTTATTAAAAATTCTTTTCAGATAGAGGACATAGCTCAGTAGTACTGTGCTCACCTAGAATGGGCAAAACCGTGGGTTCAAATTCCCATCACCAACCCAGCAAAAATCATTTGGTAATCATAGTGTACAATTTTTTTTTCTCAGCTAGAAGTATCTTTTATTTAATGTGTTTCATTTTGGCTTATGCTTTATACAGAATAGAATGTTTAACATTCACACCAGAAGTACTTTATAGCAATATTAAAACCTGTGGCTTTCATGGTTTAATACTTTCAGATTAAGTTGTTAGTTCTAGACTGGTCTGAATTATTTTTGCCATTGCCAAAGACATCTATTGTTACTGTTGAATTATGCCCTCCCTTTAAATTATTGTATTAGTGCACTACAGATCCAGAGGTTCCTAAAGTCCCTATTAAAACTGCTGTTAAAAAAAAAAAAAATAGGCATGGCAGGAGTGTTTTTTTGTGTTTTTTTTGTTTTGTTTTGTTTTGTTTTTTGTGAATTACCTGCCTGAGAGCTAGTATCACATACGTTGGTCATTCAGACATGAATACCTGTTTGTATGAGCTTTTATGCTCAAAGGGCCCAGCAAGCATAAAACTCTAAGCTACATCCAGTTTTTTCCTACACAAATAAGTTATTAGCTCATTTTATTCCTTTTATTAAATTTAGTTTATATTTCTAAGAATTTAAGTATGTACCATCATAGCTGCTTTGTTTATTTTCACTTTTGTGTTCACTTTTGTAGCTTTTCTGCAATTAGATAAAAAGGGACCACAAAAACCTCACTTTGAACAGCCAGCAATAGTACCTAGGAAAAACTACTCTTTCACAAGAGAAGAGCTGAGACAGATTGATCGGGAAAATCAGAGGCTTTTGAAAGAACTGTCAAGACATGCTGAAAAACCAGGAAACAAAAGTACAATATTGGGAAGATCAATCAGCCATCCCCCTAAGTTGTACCATAGTGCTCTCAACAGACAGCGGGAACAACAAAGGATTGAAAGAGAAAATTTGGTAAGTAACAACATCCTTTAGTCATCAAAGAAAATGTATTTGTATTATAAGTACAACTTACAGAAAATCCAAGGATAGCCAACTTTTCAATATCGTTACCTAAATGCAAGTATAGACATATGTGGCATAAAGTGTGGTGAGTTGAGTCTAGAAGTTAACCGTGTGTGTTTCTCAGCTTGCGGAGTACATAGTAACTGAAAGCTTCATTGTTTCCTGATTAGACTAGTTAAATCACTGTACAGTTGACAGTTACAGGAAATATACCCAAGAGTCAGATACATGAATCCTCTGTGATGTGTTCAGTCTTCTCCCCACCATATTCTGGAAATTCATGTGATCTGTTTTTAAAAGATAAATAATCTAGAGTAGGTCATATCTGGTACTCAGTTTGAAATGAGTGCAGAATTCATAGTTATGAATTGTAGATATACATGCATACATTTAAGCTGTTAGAGTATATTTTTTAGTAAAATTCAGCTAAGCGCATACTGAATACTAGGCATTGTTCTAAATATCCTCCACATATTTACTGAATCTTGACAAATCTTTGAGGTACATATTTAAAAACAAGTATCATGGGGCTGGAGAGATGGCTCAGAAGTTAAGAGCACTGGCTATTCTTCCAAAGGTCCTGGGTACAATTTCCAGCAACCACGTGGTAGCTCATAATCATATAACCATCTGTAGTGACATCTGGTGTCTGCCCTCTTCTGGCATGCAGGCACTCATGCAGGCAGGGGGAAAAAAAAAGCATTATAGACATGAAAAAACTAAAACCTAACAGGATTATATAATTATCCAAGTAAATACCTGAGCCAAAACCTTAGACCTAGGTAGTCTCTTAAATAAATGGAAATCGTAAGTTAGACTTCTTGTAAGTTCATAAGTTCACAGTAAAATGAATGTTAAAGATGCTAAAATTAATGCTGTTCCAAAATTGACCCTCATGCTTCCTCACGGTGTGCTTCTGTATGAACCTGGCCTGCCTACAGTCTGTGCTCATTACCGTCACTATCCTGAGACAGGCCCACACATAGCGAAGAGCAGGTAGCAGGAAAATAAGTGGAGTTTTCTGTGTGATAAGCCAGCTGCACAGGAGCTTTCTATACGTGTTAACTGTGTTTGATTCCTATTTTGTGAAAATGTGGAGCTACTAATGTCACAAACGTTAGAGTTTGTTTATTTTATTTTTGTGTGTCTATTTGGGTATGGAACCTGTTTTAATTGACAGTTATACTCCTCTTTTGCAAATGTTAGGTCATTTAATCCTCAAAAGGTCTGACATGTTATGGCATGAGAGAAAATGAGATACTGAGTAGGACACAGGGAACTGCTTAAGGCCAAAAAGCAGGTAGCAGAGCCGAGATTCAGGGCTAGGTTATCTGTCTTAGGTTATTAAAAAAACAAAAACAAAACTTTAAATATAATTTGCATACCATATCTACTTTAAGATTACAGTTCGCCGAGTTTTGCTACACTCTTTTAACTAACATTTCTCCATTCCTATTTCCTTCTAGGCCTTGAACTCCTTTTTGTCTTTATGAATTTGGCAATTTTAGGTATTTTATGTGAGTGGATGCATGCAATATTTCTCTTTTTGTAGCTAGCTTATTTCACTTAATATGTTTTCAAAATTTATCCATATTGTAGAGTGTATAAAAACTTAAATAATTTCAGGTTTATTTCTTTTTTATGCTTACGGGTGTTTTGCCTGTATGTATATGTGTGCCATGTTCATTCCTGCTGCCCATGGAAACCAGAATTGGGCATTGGATCCCTCAAAATAGTTACAGATGATTGTTAGCTAGCTTCAGGGTACTAGGGAATCAAACCCAGGTCCTCTGCAAAAGCAGCAGTTGCTCTTCATCAGTAAATGATCTCTCGAGCTTTTCGTATCAAAACTTTTAAAGCTGAATAATATTCCATTGTAAGTGTATAACATTTTGGTTATTCCATTTGTTCATGGATACTCTAGGCAGTTTCTGTCTTGGCTGTTGTGGGTAGTCCTATAGTGAACGCTGACATGAAACTGTTCAAGTCTCTGTTTTCATTTCCTTTAACTGTTTAAAAACTGGAATTGCTGGGTCCTGTCCTGGTGATTCTGTGTTTAGTTTTTTGTGGTTTTGTTTTCATATTGAGATAGGATCTCATTGTAACCCAAGCTGACCTTAAACTTCTAATCCTCTTGCTGTCTTCTTCCCAGTGCAGGCATTACACTGTATGTTTAGCTTTTTAAAGATGCTGGACTTCAAGTTGGAAAACCTCAGCCCATTAGTATCTGAATATGCATTGTGTTCATATGAATATGCATGGGATGAAGGTTGTCAGCAGCTTCTGCTTCCAGCTCTCATTGTTCCTCCAGGAATGACGTTTTGATAGCAGCAGGAAACTGCCAGTGTTTATCTTTATGTGCTCCGTATACATTATAACTTATATATGGAGACAAATATCTTCTCCAGTTGAAAGTAATTACTTGGAACACATCACAATGGTGAATTCTTTTAAATAGTGGTTTGTTTGGTTTTTTTTAAACTGGCTATATATGATTTTGCTGTTTTTTCTTTTACTTAATTTTGTTTGTTCATTCTTTGATGCTGGAAGACAAATCCAGGGCTTGTAAATGTTGTCACTGAATTGTCAGAGCTATAGCCCCAACCCACAAAATACTACCACTTCGGCATGTAATCAGTACTAGTGATGAGATATTCATACTTTTTTAATGAGCCTTTGAAATTTGTGTATTTTTATGTATAAAGTATACACATCTCAGGATTAGCTACACTCAAGGTTATATCACCATATATGGCTAATAGCACTGAACAGTGAGCTACTCTGAAATGAAAAGCTAATTGATACAGACATGAAAACAAGTAGCAAAGCTAAGCAGAAAAATATACATAATTTAATATATTATTGTGAAAAAAGCTCATCTTCTTGATCGAATCTTCATTTTTAAAACCAATTTCATATCTTGACATAACTTTTTTATACTTCTTTCGCACTTACTTCTAATAATGAAATATTTTTCCTTATTAAAATACTTTGTTGCAGTTGTCTTTGATTTACATTTTAGTCATAGAATATTTTATATTGGCTAATTTTGTTTATGGCTCTAAGGGATGAACCAGGCCTTCATACAGCTAGGAAAGTGCGTTGCTCCCAAGGGCTGTCCCCAGTTAATACTCATTACTATCTCCCTGTCAGAAATGCAGTATTTCCCTTTATTTGAGCCTTCTTGTAATGCACATTAGTAAGATTTCCCACTTTTCTTCAAAATTATATTTTTGTGCTATTGTATATAGTTCCATGTTTCCCTAACTGGTTACTTCTGTTATATGTTTTTATATGTTTATTTTATATCCAAACTCTTATTTTTCTGTTTATTTACATACAGACACACATATACAAAACACACCAGTAATTATTTCTGGGTCCAGTATATGAACAAAGAAGGACTATTGCTTTATAGGATATATAATTTTTATCTCCTCATTTGTCCTGTCACTGATGACAGAGAAAAATCAGATGGTTAATGTTCATGATTATTAAAACATTTATATTCTAATATTTACATTAACTTGTTGGACTTCAGAAGCTGTACAAATGGCACTTAAATCCAGACAGGAAAGTGCTGTACAGAGAAGGTGTGAAGACTATAAGATGGAGTCCTAGAATTAAAAGCAAATTGTTAATGCATCCTACTAAACGTCAAGACCCTTATTATCTGTTTCAATGGGCAGATATTAGCATTCCTCTCGTTAGATATTTTATCCAAATAAATGAAGGGGTATAGAAGAGACATTGAAGTGATGTTGCTTTTTTAGTCCCCAACAACAATAAGGAGAGGAGGAGGGTTAGAGAAGAGAGAATGTGTGTGAATAATAAAATACAGTTTTGTCCAGCAGAGGGTGTGCTTACTTCATGTTGACTCAGTTACATCAACTATTTCCAAAACAATGACCAAGTTTTTGGTTTTTAGGGTTTCTCTTTGTAGTCTTGGCTGTCCTGGACTCACTTTGTAGACCAGGCTGGCCTTGAACTCACATGGCCTCGAACTCACAGAGATCCACCTGCCTCTGCCTTCCAGAATACTGGGATTACAGGCCTGTGCCACTGACTTTTGCATACTCACCACTTTTACAGCAGTAAACTTCTCTGCTACATCTGCAGGAATCATTAACATGCATTCATTGTTTAAATATTTCTATATCAAAAGACAGACATGATTAATTTTTTCCAAAAATAATATTTCCTGAAGAAATATATAAAGGAAATATATAGACAAACATATAGCACAGATGTATCACCTTCTGTGCAATTGCTGTACATTGGTCTCTAGAACTCTCTTAGCTTGCAGACCTAAAACCTGGTAGAGTGGAGGGGACCATAACTCACACACACACACACACACACACTCACTCACTCACAAATGATAACAGTGAGATATGTTGATTAGAGTAATTGTGTTCATTTTATAATGTTTATATATTACAAATGGACATTCTTTGCCTTAAATAGACATAATTTAAAAATACAACTTTGTCCCAAAAAGTTTTGAATAAATTATTTTTAAATTCATTTTTAGAGTCTTGATTTGAATGGCAGTTCTATGGTTTTATAAACCATAATTTAGAATTTAAAGAACTATTCCTGTCATTTTGATGTATTAAACAGTAGTAATATCTTTGATTTTCTATAAAATAGGATAAAAATATAAAATACTGCTGATTGTCATATAATTTATAACCTAGCCTGAAGATGATATATTGTCGTATGGCAAACAACTAGAAAATTATAGAAAATAATGTTGATGATAACAAAGTCCTTAGTTCACTTTTATTCTGATCCTAACATGCCTTCCAAGAAACAATGTATCTGTATTGTATTGTAGTGTGATGCCGGCACTACAGTTTAAACCCTACCCGCATGTAACGGTGGCGTGTAATTGTGTGCAGTATGTAGTGATTATATTAGGACAAGTAGTTCTTCTATTCCTTAAAGACATTTCTTTGTAGTCTGGGCCTCCAAACTCCTCTCCTTCAGTTCCTCAAAAACAATAAATTTGTATATATTGTTGGTTGCTAGCTTAGCGTCTGAGCCCCCTCTCCAGCCCATACTCAATAACTGTTTATAAATGGCCGTCCCCCTACCATGATATAGAGCACTGAAAGCTCCCCTGCCTAAGGCTAGTTTAGTCCTGTTAACTATCTCCTACTACTCCCCTCCAGTCTGTGAGACACTTGCGTCTTTTGTCACTTCGTTATAATTGCTGGAGTGCTATAAGCTGTTATTTTAAATTTCCATGTGATTTGGACAGTTGCATTGACTCTTTTATCTCTATTTCCCTAAGTTTCTGCATAACTGGCATACTTATCAGGCTACAGCGTGAGTTGTGGTTTTATGGATGTTTTTTTCCTGTTACTGGGAAATCATCTTAAATTTTAATATTCATCATATCTATTTATAGTGTTTTACTTCTGATAAATAAGCATTGAAGTTTTCTTAAAATTTAAAGAGAAAAGATATGCATTCAACTAGATAAATGAATTAATGAAATCAATAATTTTATAAGCATTTATTACTATTTTTTGGTACATAAATTTCCTAGCTGTCCTGGCTTCAGATTCTTTGTGCATGCTAAACTTTAAAGGATAAGAACACTTGGCACTGCCACAGAGCACCCAGGCTGAGCTATATCCCCTCACCAACATTGTCCCCCTACCAGGAAAAAAAAAACATATATATATATATATGTATATATATATACATATATATATATATATATACACACACACACACACACACACACACACACGGACACACACACACACATAAAATTTTATTACATTAATTGAAAATGTCGAGATTTCTGTTGCATACACTTTAGTGAGTAGTTATTAGGATAATCAGAGAAACCAACAAATATATATTTGCCCCGTAAAATGCATTGAAAATATGGTACCTACTAATTTTTTGTGCAATTACAGTAGATTTGATTGTCATTTTAGAAAAAGCCACCTACATTATACAGTTCCTCTGTCTACAAAGAAAAATGGCATGTTGTTTCAGAAAGACTATTGACAGACACTGCAGTCAGGTGGAACATTGGTAAAGCCTAACTCTGAGCTCTACAAGAACTAACTCTACTAATTCTGCTAGGGAGTGGCTGCTTTCCCAGCTTTAATCGGAAGAAAACAGAGGCCCTGTCTCACTGCCTGGAGCAGTGGGCTCTCGTAGTCGTACCCCTTGTTTGTCACCAGGATTCGGCTTCTACAATATAGAAAACTTGTCCTTTGCACTCTTGAGGCTGATTTTTAAATGTGAATCTTAGTACATATAAGCATAGCCTGGATAAAAATCAGTTTGTACTAGAAAAAAAAAAAAAAAGGCTGTATCTTTTAAGAAAAAAGGAAAACAGAACTAGGACTCCGTCTCCAGAGGCATTTAGTCTTTGACAGTGTTCCTTTCTCAGAGATCTCTGAAAAGCAGAAGCTTTGGAATTTTGAGTTAAGAAAGAATGTGTGAGGCTGGAGAGATGGCTTGATAGAGCCCTTCCTGCACTGGCAGAGGACCAGGGTCAGTTCCCAGCAGCCACATGGCAGCTCACAAGTGTCTGTAACTTCAATTCCCAGTGATGTAGTGCTGTCGTCAGGCCTCTTGAGGCCCTAGTGAAACACATGGCACACCTATATGCTCCAGACGCACACACACACATAAAATAAAGACACCTTGGAAAATAAAATTAGGGACATTTATATTAGACTGAGTCATATTAAAGAGAGCACCTGCTTACTGGCAACTATGCTGCTTTGTCCTGTTGGGTTGTATAGTCTCTAAAAGGCTTTATATTCCTTAGTAACTGGTTTTCTAGCCTCTTAGCAGCTAAAGCACTTGTTTTTCCATAGTAAATTTACTCAGAATTTAAAGCATGTAAAGGAAAAAGTACAGAAAACAATTGGGTTGTAGAGATTGAGAGTAGTGGGGCTTGAGGTCACTGATCATTCAGCCTTTCCTTGGTGTTCTCTATGAGACATGGCTGCAATCAAACGTCTGCTCTCTAATGTACATAGGTAGAATTTGCCATAACTTTGATAAGTTTGATAACCTTTGGTGATTTCAAAGGTTTAACATTGGATTGTTAGAATTATAGCTTCCTATTTATGTCATTTGTATGAGAAAATCAAGTTTGCTGTATTTCGACTTAGTCCCTTTCCAAAGACCTGGCACATCTGTTGTGAGTTGTATGCAACTTACCTTTTGGCTGTTGTGACAGTACCTGAGATTAACAATTTAGGAGAACAAAGGTTTGTTTTGGCTCCAGGATTCAGTTCATGACTAGCTTCATTGCTTTTGGACTTGTGACAAGGCAGAAACATCATGGTAGAAAGGCATGGTGTAGGGAAGCTGCTTACCTCAGTACAGCCAGGAAGCAAAGAGACAGAAGAAAGAGGCTAGGGACAAGACAGATCTTTTTAAAGCATGCTTATAAGCAGCCTGCTTATTCAAAGAGGCCAAGTCTTCCAGAGTTTCCATTGCTTTCTAGTAGTTCTCTCAATTTTAATCCAGTAATGGATTAGTCCCTTGCTGAGATCACAGCCCAGCCACTTTTCAAGAGTGCCAACAGCTGGGATCAAGCCTCCACGGGAAACACTTTATATCCAGACTGTAGTCATTTATTCATAGTGGGGTGATTAATTAATGTATGTGTTAGGGAAAACCCTTTGAATTTTTCTGAAAATATTGATTTTTTAATTATTTTTTGAGATAATATAATCACATCATTTCCCCTTCCAATTCTGCCCTTCAAACCCATCCATAAAGCCCTCCTAACTATCAAATTAATGTCCCCTTATTTCATTATTGTTACATATATATGTATATACATGTATATTCCTAAATACAGCCTGCTCAGTCTGTACAGTGTTCCCTGTATGTATGTTTGCAAGGCTGACTATTTAGTGTTGGATAACCAACTGTGCTCTTTCCTGAAGAAAACTATTTTTCCCACTCTCAGCATTTCCTTAGTTGCCTGCAGTTTCTGTGTAGGGGTGAGGCCTTGTGGGCTTTTCCCTGTCCACTCTGGAATGTTATTGGTTGTTTAGCTCATATTGGTGAGACTGACATTGCTAGGAGACCAAAGTCTCACAGCAAACTTCCTGACCTTCTGACTTTAATAGACAGTCTTTCCAACCCCTCTTCAGCAGTATTTCCTGAGCTTTGAGTTGTTTTGTAGATGCATTAAGACTGGATTCCACAACTCTGCGTTTTGAGTGGATGTGCTTTTATGTGGTTTTCTGTTGCAAAGAGAAGTTTCCTTGATAAGGGGAGAAGATTACACTTATCCGTTGGTATATGAACTTAGAATGTAGTTAGGATGGGTATAGGTCCTTCTTCTACGCAGGTAAGAAAATTTCTGGCATGCGTGGAGTGACACACACTGCTTTTCCTTAATGAATTTTAGGTGGTAGAATGCCTGAGTTTTTAGGAATTATTGGTATTTATTTAGGATTAACTCATATTTTCCATGAAGGCTTTGTTGAAACGGCTTGAAGCTGTGAAGCCAACAGTTGGCATGAAACGCTCTGAACAGCTGATGGACTATCATCGGAATATCAGCTATCTCAACCCTTCACCATGCGTCAGACGAGTGAGATCGACTCTCGGCCATTACAGCACACTGAGTAAGAATACGAAAAGCTGTCTTCTATTCGTTTGTTGTTCGTTATGTTCTTACGATAGAGATTTAAAATGCTAACTTTTGGAATGATTTTATTTCTAACTGGAGTGTTTTTATATTCCACTTAATTTCAGCTTTCATATGCAAAATGTAATGGTAACATAGAGAGAAAAACAAAGGATAAAATGAGTGAAAATAGCAGTATTTTTTTTTCAGATACTAGAAGAAAGTCTCTTAATTTCAGAATGTGTGTTTAAAGGATAAATTAATAGATAGGCTACTTGGAATATGGCTGAGATAGTCTTTCTAGTCAACTGTAAACATTTGCTAATACCAAGTAACCCTTACATGTGTCTCTTTTGTCCCCACTAGATAACTAAAACTCAACAAAGTGAAGATGCAAATTTTTTAATGCTTGATATGTGATCAGTTACAGACTTAGCTGCTTGTGTACCCTAGAGATGTAGGAATTTAGTACCAGGGTATATAGCATGTGGGAAGTCAGGCACATTCCTTTACAGAAGTTGATGCTATTGCATCATGTACACATTCTAAACTATATTTTTTTCTTCAAAATGTAAGCCATTACTAAAGAAAGATGGAACCTCTGGTCGGAGGTACTATAACAGTGACTTAGTCACTGTTAGGTCATTTTACTTACACTTTAAAACATGGCTATGATCATGACTTAAGATAAGGTCTTGTTCTAGTAACTGATAATTAGTATTATGCCTTGACCATAGCAAACTGTTTGTCAAGTAAATAGATGAATGATTATGCAAAGTGTTTGTTTTCACTTGAGTCACTTTAGTGGCTTTAAATTCCACGGGGAATTTTAAAAGTACAGTTCCATTAAAACTCATTTCATTAGAGTATTAGACACATCTGGGATGAGGAAGGAAAACCAGTCTGGACTTAAAAGTAGGAAAGGAAGTTTATCATATGATGGCTTGTGTGCTTGGTGCAAATATTGACAGTGTTCTGTCTTTGTGTGTGTGCAGGAGCTTCCAGGACATCCAGTGCGACCAGTGGTCTCAGTAGTAAGACCGACCGATCACTGCTGGACACATCCACTGGCTTTTTGCTAAGACCGAAACCCCGGAATGTTCGTACTGCTTGGTTGTAAAACCTTTCTTAAGATAAACATTGTTTGTCCTATTTTAACAAGGTCTTTGTATGTATTACTGTAACTCTTTGCAAACATCTGTAATACTTTTTTCAACAACTTATACAGCAATGAGTATATTTATTGTTATTCAGTGCATAATTGTTATCAGAAGACACTTTGATGTAAAACCAGTGTTTCATGTGGTGGCATATTTATAGAAGCTATATGTCAATTTAATAGAGAAAGGTGTTATGCATGCATAGTTTCTCAGTATAGAAATTCATTTGTTATGCTGACAAACAGCAGTGGTAATCATCCACGTTGAAACCATGACACTCAGTATATGGTTCTTACTCTATATTATTTTCAGTTACTATAAACGCTAAACAAGGAGTTTACCTTGTAAACTTAAGCGCCTTGTGCTTCTGCTTTAGAATGTCTAACGTGGGTTATCACCTGATTTTGTGAGTGTTGTGTTCCTTATGAAAAAAAAAATCTTGAAATATGTTTTTATGGATGAGCAGGTTTAGATTGACGAAGAGAGTGAGCAGCTTGTACTGGCACAATTCTTGATTCCTCAAAGGTGCTTCTCCTTGAGAGTTTGATTATCCATTCCAAACCATTTCACACTGTGAATAATAGGGGTTCACTTTAGAAGCTTCTGGTTTGTGTCTTTATGTGGTCCAGTAAAACACTCTTAAGGACCCTGAGTAGGCTTGAACAGCCTACCCTCTTGTGACTGGTTAGTATCCAGATCATTAGCATTAGAAACAAAAGCAAGTATTTGTTGGAGCAATGAGCAGCACTCCCAGCTTGAAGAACCAAGAGGCAGACCCAGGGTGTTAGAGCAGTGTTCGAAACAATCCTGTTAGTGTGTGTGCTGTCATTGTGTATTTATTGTATTAGTAGAAGGGTCACAGTAAGAAAGAAATGCTTTCAAGAAACCAACTATATTAGAAAGAAACTAACCACACATTGGCTAAAGCTACTGCCTTAAATATTAGTGAATTTTCTTGGTTTGGTTTGGCTGAACCCTAGAAGCACCATCTTTACCTGTCTCAAATTTGAAGGCCTGTTATCTGATGGAAGTGCTAGTGGCACAGAGGTGTAATAGAGCTGACTGTGAAAACTAGGGTATTCTGTCAGCCCAGAGGCTGTTACTTTATAGAACGAAGTGTAATGGTTCATAGTCAGAACCTTTCCATTGCTGCTCTTATCAGTACGTCTTTGGTGACCCATTTTTGCTAAAATGTGAATTTCCCTAGCCACCGAGAGAGCTGATTTCAGTGCTCCAGCGCTGTAGCGTGTGCGCTTCACCTTCATTAGCAGAGAGGCAGACTGCACATACAAACAGCTCCTACATTGTCGGTCTTATTTTAATAGATTGTGTTTTAGCTACAGCAGCGAAGGTTGGAAGTGGGAAGCCAAGAAAACAAAACTGCTGAGCATATACACCATACACACATAGACACACAAACATACAGTGGGTGTGCATACACATCACACACATACATACATGTACAAACACACAGTGGATGGGAACATAATGTGACTGAAGGTTTTTCTGCTGCTTTGGGGGGGAGAGGGGCTGAAACATTCTTTAACAATTTGTTTCTTTGTTCTAGAGAACAAGATTTCACACCTGCTTTATATACAGAGGATTTATTTTGGCTTAGTTTTTAACATTGTACCTCTAATGTTGGTGTAACAACTTAAATTTAAAATGCAGCGTTTTGGCATTTGCCCCAATAGTGAGTTAATCACTTTTTTTAAAAACTGACTTTTTTGAGGGGAAAAACGTGTATATATAAAATCTTTTACGTTCACGGTGGCATTAGCCTATGAGTACATTTTATTTTATTCTCCCCAAGTTTCATAGGTAAAGCTATACTTCGATTTTAAATGCTAATTTATGCCTTAATTTTTGCTATTTGAAAGAAGCTTGTCTAAGTATTATTGATAACAGTTATTCAAGTAAAGGGCAACCATCTTTTAAAAACCATTTACAATGTTGTGTTAAAGTTGCATATATATGTGTGTGTGTATATGTACATATATATGATGACTCAGTAGATGGGTAGGAATGACAAACTTAGAATTCACTGATCTAAGTCAGGATACTTTAAGGTTAGGCTCTAGGAGGCCTTTGTAGTGGTGGTATCGTAAGTACGTTAATCTCTTCAGCCTCACCAACACAAACACATGAGGGTCAGCACTGTTGTTCAGTTGGCTGGCTTGTCCTTATTGCATATACTTTGAAGATCTGCATCTGTAGCTAGAAAGCTGCTGCTCTGCAGGCTGGTGGACAGATCTGAGATCTGGTTTCACCTCTGTCAAGTGTTAGCACCTCATTTTCCAGTAAGTTCTTATGAAAGATTTCAAACTACTAAAAACATTTCTTAAGGAGCAGCTACTACCTTGTCCTTCCCTACTTTTTTAGTCTGCATCAAACACTGCACTTAACACTCATTTGCTTGTAAAATGCCATCATGTAGTTGTGCTCAACCCACGTGTCAAAAAGCGGGATTACACAGCTTTGAAAGGTGATTGGGACGGGTCTGCTTCTCCTGCAGATGAGGGCAGCAACTCCAAAGTGTTATGATTACAGTAAAGCTAAAGATGTAGCCTTGCTCGCTTGGCCACGCAAAGCCTGTATCGTCGTAAACGCCAACGTCTTATTGTGTAAACGGCTGTACACCATCACAGAGAATGTGCTTACTGCTAATGGCCAAGTTGCTTATTTTCGTGAATAAAGATTAGCAGGAAACTTTTAAAGCATCTTTTTAAAAAATGTTCTAGTTTGTTATGTTTTAGGCATAAAGAACTAGCTTAGCCTACTAAAGAAATAAAAGATTTAAAAATAACCAAGTATTGATTCTGTGTTTTGTTCATATTTTTAGAATTAGAAGGAAAAGTCTTACATATCCTACAAGACTGTTAGTTAGAATGAAGTTGGCAGTTAGTTGTATTTTTGAAAATGTATTTTTTTGGGAAAGTTTGTGAAAAATGACACTCCTGGTAAGCATGTCTTTGAATCATATGATTTGATTCATTTTGTAAATTGTTATGATGCTACAATACAATGGACATTCTTTTAGAGCTTGAATGAGTATTGTTATTGTTGGGTTGTTTTGTCTTTTTTGTTAAAATAATTTAATTTTATGTGCATTAGGGTGAAGGTGTCAGATCCCTTAGAATTGGCGGTATAGACAGTTGTGAGCTGCCACATGGGTGCTGGGAATTGAACCTGGGTCCATTTGGATGAATAGACAGTGCTCTCAGTCACTGAGCCATCTCTCCAGCCCCAGGTTATTTTGTCTTTAAAGAGGGTTAATGATGCCATTGGGCTGAGGGTGGTTGACCTTCCTGGCCGGTAAGTCCAGTAGGCAGGATGGTCAGAAGTTCAAAGTCATGCTCAACTACATTTCCAGGTTAGCCTGAGCTGTGTGAAAATGGATCATATCTCCAACAAACTGAAGCCACAGAAAGAATGCTCAGTGGCTCCCAGAGGTGCATATCTCTTCATTAGCACAGATGAAGAATGCCTAAGACAAATGGGCTTGTGTTATACAGGTGATTTTGATTTTCAAATATAGGGATGGTTTTTAAGTTGTCCCCTAGAGGTGAAAGGTAAGTCCCTATTGCTGGAAACACCATACACTTCACACCAGTAGTTGAACATGTTCAACCATTGATTGAATACCATACACACCAGGCCCAGAGGCTCCTGAGCTAGAACTAACCTGGATGCCTCCTCCCTGAGGACTAGCTTTCATGATACCAGAAGGTGTCATTCAGGCTTCCAAAGGGAGTATGAGCCTACCCCAACTATGAAGCCTATGAACCACAACAGCGACCAGCATAACACAGTAACCCTAAGGTGCAGTGCTGGCATGCATAACTTGATGGTAGCCAACAGCTCTCTAGCTGGACCCGCTCGGCAAGAGGGAAGTGATGCCTGGTACTGGAAACTTAGCTAACTACTCAGGGCTGGTGAAGTCATGGTTACTGCAGGAGGACCCCGAACCACCACTTTCCTAAACCAGCACAACTCCTAATTACATCTTAAACATGTGTCCAAAGAAAAGAAAGAAACCAATAGCTGTCTTTGAAAGCACAGAGATTCTCACAAATGTCTTTTTTTTTTTTTTCACTATTACTTTTGCATAGTTTTATGCCCTGTGGTATATGTATGGAAGAGGACAATTTGTGGAGTGAGTTCTCTCCTCTACCATGATGTGGGTTCTGGGGACCAAACTCACATTTTCCCATATACCTGGCAAGTACTTAGAGAGGTTTAGTCCATGATAGAAAGCATGGCAGCAGGTAGGCGTGGCACTGAAGCAGTAGTAGCTGAGCTTACGTCTTATCTGCAAGTTGGCAGTAGAGAGACTGGACCTGACATTGGCTTTTGAAACCTCCAAGCACAACCTGAGTGACACACCTCCTCCAACAATCTACACCTCCTAATCCTTCCCCAAAACAGTTCCACAAACCAGGGACCAAGCATTCAAATACTTGAGTCTGTGGAGGCTATTTTCATTCCATACCTGGCTTACCTCCTTACTGCCAGACTGAATTCGGATCATTAGTGACAACTCCATGTCAAATGCTATCTTACGTTACTTTTCCTGTGAAGGGAACTCCATGACCAAAGCAATTTGGGGAGGAAATGATGTGTTCAGCTTATTCTACCACATCATCACAGTTCATGAATGGAAGTCAGGGCAGAAACTTGAACAAGGCCAAAACTACGCAGGGACCATGAAAAAAATGTGGCTTACCACCTCACTCCTCAAGGCTTATGGAACCCAGGACCACCAGCTCATGAATGGCCTCACCCATAATGGGCTGGGCCCCCCCCCTCCAATCAGTCACTAACTAAGGAAAAACAAACAAAAAACTCTTCAGCAGTAGGTCTCAACTTGACCCCCAGGGGGATCTGCATATCAGATGTTTGCATTACAATTCATAACACAGCTGGAGAGATGGCTTGGAGGTTAAGAGCAGTGTCTGTTCTTCCAAAGGTCCTGAGTTCAATTCCCAGCAACCACATGGTGACTCACAACCATAATGAGATCTGGTGCCCTCTTCTGCAGTATGTAGACAGGATACTGTATAAATAATAATAAACCTTTTAAAAAAAACAATTCATAACGCTAGCAAAATTACAGTTATGAAATAATTTTATGGTTGGGGTCACCACATGAGGAATTGTATTAAAGGGCCGAAGCATTAGGAAAGTTGAGAACTAGTGCCCTACAGGATTTCGTACGACTGGATTATTATGGTGGCATTTCCTCAATTGAGGCTTCCTGTTTGAGGAACCTGCTGTTTGAGCTTGCAGTGCTCCCAGTCGGGATAGCCTTTCTAAGCTTGGTGCTAGACAGAGGACTCCCTCTCCCCAGCAGGGCCTCCTGCTCTGTCTGACCTCATCTGGAGAGTGTCTTCAGGCATAGATGCCTCTAACCATTATGGCCTTTGGCACAGTTCCCTGCTAGCTCTTCCCTCCCTAAGCCTAGGATAATTAAGTACTGTGTTCCTGTTCATATGATAGGGTCGTGCTGCCAAATGCAAATCAAGCATCCTTGGGATTCCTAGTTCTAACCAATTATGTACATGTCCTGGGAGCCCCCCACCCACTCCCCAAGGACTATAAAGTCTTTGTTCACTCCGAATAAAGTTGAGCTATCTTGCTGGAGTGGTTCCCAGAGGCTATTTCATGATGCTCAAGGCTTTCTGATCCCAGCGACCCCTACGTTAGAGGAGACCCACAGCTTCCTCCTCTCTGATGACTCTGGCTTGTGTCAAGATGAGTTAAAACCAGGCAGCACACATGCTAAAGCCTCTTTTCACCGCTTTCCATTAGTTTTGACCTGCTGCATTTCACAAGTTTTTGAAATAATATGCCACTTTGATGACACACTGATTCACTCTCTTGCTTTTGTCTCTGGTGATTTACGCTGACATGTCTTTTGTGATGATTTGTTTTCATGTGTATGTATGTGTGCTGAGTGTAGGTAGGTAAACACCATCTGCATGCAGGGGCACCTGGGTCCCAGGGAGTGTGGGATCCCCTATAGCTAGTTATAGGTGGTTGTAAATTTCAAAATATGGGTGCTTCAAACTGAAAGGGCCCTAGAAAAGCAGCAGGTGATATTACCCAGCAAGTGATAACTTTCCAATGCCAGTGTGTTTTGAATCCATAACAGAGGCTGTGGGCCATCTCTGTGGTTTAATTTTTTAATGTGTGTGTGTGTGTGTGTGTGTGTGTGTGTCATGCATGTGCCACAGTGCACATATGATCCAGTCCAAGGACAACGTGCAAGAGTCAGTTTTCTACCTTGTGAGTTCCAGGAATTAAACTCTTCCGTCCAGATTTAGAGCTTAAGTTTTTCTCACACTGAAAATAAAAGGTGGCTAAAGAGATTCCCAGAGGTCAAATCTTGAGAATTCTAGGTTTTCGCTTGGATGTGACCCCTTTACCCAGACCTTCAGGCTTGAAAGCTTTGTACCCTGACAGTCACAGGACAGCAGGGGAAACCGTGCCTGTCTGCCCCCACTCTTGGTCACAGCATTCTGTCACTGGCCTTGTTCTAGGAATTCCTGTTGAGTGAAGTAGCTACAGTGGAACCAGTTCAACAGGACTCCCGGGGCAAAGAGCAGGCAGGAGAAAACCCGCAACTGGGCCATGTGCAGATGGTGAGATGTGCGGCTTGACGTGCGGCCTGTCCCTCCCTCCACTCTGCTCTCCGCTGCATGCCAGGGAGGGCGGGCTTGGAAAACAATTTGCCGCTTGGCTAGGCTGCGATGACCTACTCTTCCTTCACTGCAGTTAGTTCAGCTACATCTCATGGCCTCCCTGTCAGGCGAAACCCTTAGGTCTGGAAATACTGCAAGTGGCGGCCCAAGTCTTAGGTATGCAACACAAAATTAGTTTTCCTACTGGCCTGTCCTTTTATTTCTGTCAGCAACAGAAACTTGAATCATCGATATCCTGGAACGAAAAGCGGTGTAACTGGAAGACCTCTAGCCTCACCATTTGCTCCTTGTCATATTGAGATTGAGATCTTCTCATCTTTTTAGGCTTTTCCATCCATCTAGACGTCTATCCTGACACTAGATGAGACTCTCGATATGGAAAACACAACATACACTCCTTGATTACTCTGGCGAAAAACAAGGCACCAGTGTGTTACCCCAGAGGGAGTTAATGGGAAGGGCCTGGATAGCCCAACCCCAATCTATCCATCAGGAACTACAGAAAACAGACGTTTAGCTACTTTCCAAGCCTTGCCCAGGGTCTGCTCTTTTCCTGACCCAGAACTACTTGTTTCCCTTTATTTCATGGATGTTTTGCTGCATGCATGTTTGTGCACCACGTGTGCCGAGACCTCAGGAGACCAGAGGAGCGCACACATGAGATCCCCTGGAACTGCGGTGACAGACAGTAGTAGGCCTCCTTGTAGGTGCTGGCAACCAAACCCGGGACCTCAGCAAGAGCACTAGGTGCTTTTAACCCTGAGCCATCTCCCTAGTGTTGTCCCATTTTTCTCTGAAAGTCAAATCCAGATAGGCTTTTCTCCTAGTTCTTACCCTGTTACAGAAAGGGAGTACAAGCGGATACTTTGTATACCTAGATAGTTACTTTCATTCAAGGGCCTCTCCTATCATTCCCCTCCCTGGCTCTGCCCCACTTCTGTTTATTCCCAATCAAGGTTTACTATTATCAAACTGCTTAACCAGTACCATTTCATCTTCTCCTACTAATGCTTCAGGACAGGTTCACTTTTAGATCTTCCCAGGCATAAAATATTAGCTTGATAATTGACACCTTGAAGTGAATGTTGGGGGTGACCCCAGC